CGGGGGCGGGGGTGCTTATAGTCAGGGGGGCTTATAGTCAGAGGTTTACGGTATAATGACAGAGATAATTTTACCTATCATTGGGCTATCAATGGGAGAGTCCTAAGTATTAATATTTAAGAGTGAAAATATTGATTATGATATCATATAATGTTCACATTATAAAATCCCCAAACATAATTCTCTTTCTCAACCATCTCAAAAGATACACTAAACCTAATAAGTTCTTATTGCAACAGATTCTCATTTTAAAGTAGAATAATTGCCACATGTAGCACTTGTTAAGGTGAGATAGCACATCTCTTATCCATCCAGGACAAATTACCCATTTGACACAGTTAATTAACACTATAATGGGGGTAATTTTTCTTTCTTAAAATGGCAATGTATCGATATGATTTTTCAATGGCAAAATGCAATTGGACTGTACGGGCCAGTCTGTACCAGTGACTAATTATATAGTTAAGCTAGGTGACACTTGCTCGATGGCTTCCCTGTTAGATACTGTACTCCTTTTGAAAAATATTAATTGCTACATGTAGTGTTAAGGTGAGATCATGGCACATCTCTTATCCGTCCTGGACAAATGACCCATTTGACATGGGTAACATTATAATGAAGTAGTTTTTCATTCTTGAAATGGCGATGTATTGACATGATTTTTCAATGGCAAAATGGAATTGAACTGTAACAGTGATTAATTATATAGTTAAGGGACACTTGCTCAATGGCTACCCTCTGTTATATACTGTGCATACTCCTTTTGAAGTAATTAAAATTGCTACATGTAGTGTTAAGGTGAGATGGCACATCTCTTATCCTATCATTGCATGTGATCAATGCTTATTTGTCTCAACAAAGAGATGGTTTGCGCTCTAGCTAGCTATCTCATTGACAATTAGATAACGAGTAGCGTAAAGCCAATCAGAATACAGCATTTGCATTAGAACTTGACAACATTTAAAATTACTAAATATATATACTGTATAGACTAATGTGAAAATGAATACTTTTAGGATGACGACCCCATTGTCCATTGATGAAGAAGTGAGGAAATCAACCTATAGCTATCCTTGAATCTTGGCATCAGGTGACATTGCATCCTTGGACCCATTGTACATTGCTGCCGTGGGGCAAATTTACTTGCGTTTTGCTGGTAAAAATATTCCACATACTTATTGCTACATTCCATGTTCTAAATATGGAATACACTCCAGGTGTTTCGAGTGTTTATGCATTTCTAGAATTTAGAAGCTGTCACCTTAAACCGCCCTGCTGATGCCGAGAACAAAATTTCTGTACAACAACTTTTAAGTGAGCTTGGACTCTGAAATTAATCGTGATAAATACTTAGTTCATATAAATTCATGCATGTTAAAGGTATTTCTTGTCAGCGAGTAATTTATAATAATAACCAATTTTGAACCTATATTTCTCTTTTGTGTGTGTCTTAATGTGCCTGGTTGAAAGTGTTAAATCAACACCTTAAATCTGGTGTTATTTTAGCACCAGATAGGAAGAGGTGTTGCTTTGGCACTGCCAAATCAGGTGTTATTTTAACGCCACACTATAGGTGTTAAATCAACTCTTAAAACTGGTGTCACTTTAGCACTTAAAAGTGGTGTTAGTTTAACACTATAAACAGGTGTTAAATTAACCCCCAAAACTAGTGCTAATTTAACACTAAAAATGGGTGTTGTTTTAGCACCATATCTAGTGTTATTTTAACACTTTTTTAGTGGTGTTAAAATAGCACCAAAAAGTAGTGTTATTTTTTACCTAATTTTTTAACACCACTTTTTGGTGTTATTTTAACACCCTAAAATTAACAGTGTATGATATGAATATGGTTATAGCGACATAAAGAAAGAAATTTTCCGACGTTTCCGTGTTGACATTGAGTTATATCAACACGGCTCTTAATTAGCCAATCAGCGTTCAGAATTTACAACTGCTATATTATTATCATATATATATAACGTAGCAGTTGGTGTATAGACCGTGTTATATATACCTAGGTTAAAGCTCATTCATTTAAGCGAGGATCAGGTTAGTACTTCATCCTGCATGGATATTTTGGATCCGAACAATGCATGACAGTATAGTACAAAGGAATACTAGTAAATATTTCAAGTACTAAGTATTTTCAAGCAGTTTTCTTTATTTCCAAAGATTTTTTATTAATAAGTCAAAATGCCCTTGTAATTGATTTTTCAACTTTATTCGCAATTTTGAAGGAGTTGAAGGACCTGCAACCAAGCTAGATATAGACACACGGAATAGACTGTAAGTTAACGTATATCGAAAGCAGTTAAAAATCTGCACTTGCTTACACCTGCGAAATCATAATGCTGATATGGGATCGACGAAGAGCGGAGTTATACAGCATACAAAATACTTAAAAAGCTATAGAACTATACTAGAACTCTAACAATACAACAGTTTAATCAGGGTTATCATCAATCATGCAACCAACGGACAATTCTAGAAATCTTAAAAACCGGCCTTCGTTTTGGGGAAACCTGCGGTGTTTGCTAGACCCAAACTCGAAACACTCTTCTCAGTTGCCACAAAATTGAAATTAAAAAAAGCTGCAAAAAAAGATTAGCTCTTCAAACATGCATGAACCTACCTTATCTTCTAAGTAATCTTGCGGGAATCTCGAATGAGATCGTTTCCTATCTAGTCCTCTGTCATAAGCAGAAATTCCTCCACCGATCTATATGGTATTCAAGAAAGAGAACGTTAACACAGTACATTAAGTGTCAACCAATTCCGGTGTTTAATAACACCACGATTTGGTGTTCTAACGGACGACTAAATTAGTTTTCTGATTTAGCAGCTGCATTCGATAGAAAGAACACCCCCTCCCCTACCTCACTCCCAAATTAAAAGTATACTAATTAAATTGCCTGACTCTGGAATCCTTTAAAGTAAAGTGGTAAGCTCTAATAATGCAACATTGACCAATATTTTACAAAGACGGCAGCAGAAGTTAGGCAGTTAAGCCATGAACCGACGCTACGCCATAGTCTTTGAAAAATTTCACTTTCTAAATGCGCGCTTCAACTGTTGGGTTGCAGGCCAACTTCAAAAAGCTTAATCCTGTAACATACCTAGCTGAGATTACCTTTCGCTAATACAAATTTCGCATTTCCCTTATAATAAACTTCCTGTAAATCCCCCACTGTGCTACCTTAATATTGAGCTTCTAATATTGTGCCCAGTCGGAACATACAATAAATTGCAAGTTTGCAAGCCTTTTAATACTCTCAACCACTCTGGTCAAAAATTTCCTCGTTAACCTAAAATTAATGCTCCAGACTAATTAACCAAACTATCTATATCTATAACCCAGAATGCCTGGTTAATAATCCACCTAACCTAGTCTGGCTAATTCAACCATATAGCCTAACTGGTTAAATTAATCAGGAATCCTGGTTAAAATAGCCAGGACGATAGGGACAACACAATTCAGAAAATAAACTTTTCAAGACAGAATAAAAAAAGCTATACCTTGGAAAACGTCTATTCTTCAACTCTTCAACCTACCGTGACAAACTTTTTAGTTGTGTCAAAAAGACTTCGTGATATACCCCAAGATAGAAAAGCTGGAGTGTTAAGGTCAACCAATGCCCTGGCAAGAATTTTTTCTAATTTCCAAGAATCTCCATTCCAGTCCTTGTTGGTGATATTCCAGGAGCCATGTTTCTCGATCGCGTCAAGAATTGGTTGAACCCCATCATTTTTAATATAATTCTCATTCATACAGGATTTGTAGAATGTGAAGGCTTTATAAACAGCTGAATCCTAAACACAATGGAGAGGTTGGAGATTGGGATGTCATAGTGGGGTTGGTTTATCAGTTTTAATGATTTTTTCTGTGTGAAATAACCCGCAAGGAAAATCCACACATCGTTTCCACACATCATTTCACATGTAAAATTTTATGTGGAATTGGAACTTCAGATGTGAGAATCGTCATTTTCGATGTGAAATTTAGAGTTTTCACATGTGACCTTTTTATATTGTATGTGCATGGAATTGGAACACTTCGCACGTGAGGCATTTTCACATGTGAAATTTGTCTGAAATGTTTTTGATAAAACATATAATTTTATAGGCCTATACTTAAGCCGGTTACAGACGAGCAAGTTTTCTATGACAAGTTTTTATGTGACAAGTTTTATTTGCAAAGTGCACGTGTGCATATGCAACAAATTTTATATGACAAGTTTTATTTACTGGTGTGAACGTCTCAACAAGTTTACTTTGACAATTTATTAGTAGCCAGCAATGTAATAGTACAGTGGACAACGCGAACGCTGGCCAATCACATCAAATGCTCAGATTACTTTGACAAGTTTTCTTTGTTGACCCATATAGACGAACAAAATTTTTTTGACAAGTGCACTTGTTCAAAAGCTGGCATGAGTTGAACGAGTGCACTTGTCATAGAAAAAATTGTCACTGAATTTGCGTGTACAGACGAGCAAATAAAACTTGTCACATAAAAACTTGTCATAGAAATCTTGCTCGTCTGTAACCGGCTTTAGTGTGAAATCAAGCATGCAGACTTAGTTCTGCTAATTCTGATTTCACAGTGTAGTTCAGCGGAAAAGTAAAAAATCATGCACTTTGTGAAGAAAGCACCCAATTCACATGAAGTGTAGACTTTAACATGATAATGAATCTTAGATATGGAGGCATCACCAAAATTGATGCTGACGGCTTAAAATTTAGGATTTCTTATATTCTCTTATTAAACTCTATTACTGTTTAAAATTGTGAAATTCCAGGTTCACATATAGCAAAAATGACTTGCATGATTAGAAAGCTTACAAAAAACTACATATAAGACTTTTAAACGGTTGATTGATTATTCAAGCGGTTTTCCATTCATTGCTATTTAAAAACGTGATAAATAGGCAAATATCCCGCCGAAGTCCTGGACACTAGCCCTAAAACATATTTTAAACCGCTCATAACTCCAGAGGAGTTGGAAAATCAAAGTAACTGCTTAAATGTCTTATATGCAGTTTTTTGTAAGCTTTCTAATGACGCATGTCATTTTTGCTATATGTGAACCTGCAATTTCACAATTTTTAATTGTATAAGAGATTAATAAGAGAATATAAGAAATCCTAAATTTTAAGCCGTCAGTATCAATTTTGGTGATGCCTCCATATCTAAGATTCATTATCATGTTAAAGTCTACACTTCCTGTGAATTTGGTGCTTTCTTCACAAAGTGCATGATTTTCTCAAATATCTGTGCATGTCCGTTGGACTAGTGTAAAAACACTCAGATTGGATAAAATAACCAATCAGAATTGGTTGCCTCAGATGCATTTATTTTGACCAATATTATGTTATGAATAACAGTATGATAATTAAAGTAGCTCTGAGAAAAATTGGGTTAAAATAACCCATTTTTTTGCACCTGGGACAACCTGTCCAATTCAAATTGGTTATTTTAACGGACTTGTTTTTACAGTGCATATACGCGGATGGTAAAAGATGTTTTCAATCCTATTTCCCCCCGTCAAAATTGTGTCTAAATCTCACACACTGATTTCCAAATCCCATTGCAAGCAAAATTGCTGATGCATGCAAATGTCCTTAATTCCCAATGATCTAAATCTCATTAAAAAATAAGCAAATTATTCTAGCTCATACTTTACCCGTTCCCGTATAAGAATTTATTTGCACTCATGGCAATCTGAGCTTGCGAACCAGGCAATTTGTCAACATGAACACTGTAAAATCCCTGCGTATATTTTGATTCGAATAAAATAATGTACCCACAGTTATAGAAGCAAATTTAGCTAGTATTCATTAAATATTTTGAGTGAAGTTTAAATCAACTCCATTTTTATGTGTTAATAAAGATTTACTTTTACAAAGTAAGTAAATTTGGTCATAAGTTTGCGTCATTTTGAGTCACTACATGTGAATGCATTATTATACTGAAGTTTTTTAGTCAAACTTTTCCATTGAAGACAGAAGTGGTTCTTGAATTTTGGGTGTTTAATAACTGCCTGTATTTCAGCCTGCATGGTGGCCCATAATACACTGGTTCTTATGTACGACATTTTATCACTTTTCCAATGTTACGAATAACAGTAAGTTACAGTATAATAAATTACAGTACCTCTGAGTAATCTGACATCAAGTTATCATTTTGCAATATCTCTTTCAAGGCATTTTGAACGAAATCCTCTGCTACACTGAATGAATCCAAGTACGGTTTACCATCATGTAGATGAGTTTTGTTTAAGAATCCGCCACAACTATACTGGTAAAAATCATCACATGGATTGGTGGATTCATCGAGTTTGTTAAGAATATCTGAAAAAAAATACCAACTGGCTTTAATTTTAATCTGTCTAACACCTGATGTCAACTGAAAACGCTTCTAGTTACTTTAAATCAGGTATGTATGAAAACTACTGCTGATGCCACAATTCCTCTCCCTTCAGTTTAAAGCTGCGACGTTTTGACGCCAATCGACGCCGTGTCCCGATTGCATACACCAGAATAAGAATCGTATATGACTAATCATGCATGCAGTTGTAAAGTGGGAGCTTGTAAATTTAGCCGAAAGTAAACACAATCACAGGTTTTTCGCTATTGTTTATAATTTGATGCAGGAAATTTATTCAAACACGGTAAAACAAGTATTCAAATTAGACACAAGGTGTATCTTTTAATTTGAATTATTCAAATACATTTTAAGTGCCTTAAGATTCCTGGCCATTGTAAACTTGTATAAAAGTTTTATGAAAACGGAAATAACATCATCCTGAATTTTACATAACACTAGATTTGAACTCGAGAAAAATAATCAATTATTATGAGTGAATATATGCTGCAAATGGTAAAAAATATAGGTATGCTGTGGCGTATTTGCGTGTACAGGTATTAGAAATTACGCGATTTTGGGAGGCAAAAAATAATGGATAGCGTGAGAAAATTCGCCAGAAATTGCCTTTCTGAATTCGTATTACTGAATAAATAAAGGCGATAAACAGCAGCTCTATGCCGAAGTAAAGCTGCGACGTTTTGACGCCAATTGACGTCGTGTCCCGATTTGTCGTGATCCATTTTATCGTTACGAAATCCTCAAAATTCAATTATAATATACATGTTATATAAGAACGTTTTGATTGGCTGAAATGCGTGCTCAATAACTCCATTAAACACAGCAAAACTTTAAAATATATATATATATATATATATATATATATATATATATATATATATATATATATATATATATATATACAGCTAATTCAATAAAGGTTGTCCTTTGCAAACCTTAAACTCTAAAACCTTAAACCTTAAACTGTAAGCGCGCAAAGCGTAATGGGAGCACGATTTAAGCAGTTTAGAAAGCATATATGGAGCCCATTTCTCAGAGACATGGTAAACATCTCCCTGTGAAAACATTTCACTCACAAACCGCTGCAATATACAACTGCTAAGCTTGAAATTTGTGCTCCCATTATGCTTTGCGCGCTCAGAGTTTAAAGTTTAAGGTTTAGAGTTTAAGGTTTGCAAAGGACAACCTTTTTTGAATTAGCTGTATATATATATATATATATATATATATATATATATATATATATATATATATATATATATATATATATATATATATATATATATATATATAGAAAAGACTTGTATCTTGTTATCAGCAACATTTCATATATATATATATATATACAATAATAAATCGTTGTCCGTTGTACAAAAAGAGTGCTCAATAACAAATTTAATTGATAGAGCAAAATATACTAATTATAATCTTAAAATTTTATTAATCGCTACACAGTGTTTCACGCTTTCAAAGCGATCTTCAGGCGATACTACTCTAAATAGTTTGCTTGCGCCATTCATTCAACGGTATATATATATATATATAGAAAGACACAAAAACTTAGCAAGCTTTCTTTGGCATATTTATTACTATACAGTTTCGTACCACGTAAATAACGTGGCACTCTTCAGATAAAATAGCCTATGTTTAGTAGTTTTTGTCTCTGGTTATCCATTGAGCACTCTATCATTGGTTTTTATAACCCTACACAAACTATTTTATATATATATTTATATATATATATATATATATATATATATATATATATATATATATATATATATATATATATATATATATATATATATATATATATATATACTTCTAATTGAACGGCATAACTTAATCCTGGCTACACTATCTAAAGTATGGTGCAAGTTCCAGGATAGGTAATAGATCAGACCATAACACAATGATATAGTCCCGAGCCAACGGCGCCGAGCGCCGTTCCGGGCGTATGCCGGGGCGAGGGTACTAATTGGTAGGTAGGTAGGTAAAACTTTATTTAAACACGCTAACCCTTTCAATACAAATTGATTTCCAAGGGGGGCGTGGTGAAAAAAAATTGAAACACATAATAAACAACAAGATACGTATATACAAATTTAAATATTTCCAAACTAGTAGATCGTGACAGGCTAGTTGCACATAAAAGCGAGTTAAAAATTCCTAGGCTTTCTGCGTTTCTAACTTCAATAGGTAAATTGTTCCACAATTTAACACCATTGAAACTTATACTCATTTTTAAATATTCCGTTTTAGGAAAAGGAAGATTAAGCTTCATGTCAGAATTACGTAAATTGTAGTCATGAGATCTGACAACTGAAGCACTAGAAAATATTTCAGTAAGCGCAGTAGGTGCAAAACCATGAATAATCTTATACATGAGTCTGGCTTTAGATTCAAATCGACGTTCCTTAAGTGTTTTCCACCCGAGCGCAGTCAAAGCAGCTTCTGAGCATCCGTGCTCATTTGGGTAACCCATAATTATTCTTGCTGCCCGATTTTGAAGAGTCTGCAGTTTATCAGATAAAACGCTGCCAATCGGATCCCACACCTTACAAAATAATCAAAATATGTTTGAACTAAAGCGTTGTAGACAGAAATAAGAGTATTTCTGCATACAAACGGTTTAAGCCTAGAAATCGCTCCAATGCCACTAGAAATTTTCTTTGTCAATTTCTCAATATAAAAATCCCAAGAGAGAAATTGGTCAATATGAATTCCTAGAGACTCAGTCACTATGACTCGGTTCAAAAGTTTACAATCAACAGAAATACAAGGATTATCAACAAGATTATTGATGCTGTGTCTGGATCCTATTAGCATATATTCCGTTTCGCTAAGGTTCAAACAAAGCTTATTAGCCATTAGCCAATCGCTAATATTATTTAAATCATGATTCAAAGTAGACGAAATTTCATGTGTGGATTTGCCACACACAGTGAGCGTCGTATCATCTGCAAACATTCTCGGTGTACAGTATTTTAAACAATTAGGCAGATCGTTAATATACACTAAAAAGAATAGTGGCCCCAAAATCGATCCCTGAAGAATTCCACACTTAATCGGTTTAGAATGAGATAATGTACCATTTATAAAGCATTTTTGTGACCGATTTGTTATGTATGATTCAAGTAACCCCAATAAATGCCGTTTTACCCCATACATATTTAGCTTTTCAATCAAGATTTCATGATCAATGGTATCAAAAGCTTTTTTAAGATCTAAAAAAGCAACAATATTAAGCAAACCTTTATCCATATTTGAATACCATTGATTAGTGCTATCAAGAAGAGCCGTAGTTGTAGAGTGATATCGTCTGAAACCGAATTGACATTTCGAAAGTATGCTAGCATTGGATAAATAGCCATGTAGTTGCTCGTAAAGTATACTTTCAAAGGCCTTGCTGATAGCTGGAAGGATAGAGATTGGGCGATAATTATCCAACAAATTTTTGGGACCTTTCTTATGGCTGGCTATTTACACCCGGGGACAGGAACGCACAAGCGAAGTCTAAAGTTCATCAAATATTGCGGGCGCATGGTTCGCCATTCATGGGTGGTCGTCCTCACTGATCTCAAAATATGTAGCGGACTGTCGTGAATAGTGAACACTGATTGGTCAAATTTGAAATTTGGATTATAACGACTGCAGGCGAAATATCAAACATTTCCTGCAACTTGCATTTTTGCAAGATTTTCTAAATTTCAAAACCTTTCTGAGCTTCAAAAACTTACCATATCGTGGGACAATTTCATTTTGCCTTCATATTGTGCCCTGATGGCTAGTAAGTACGTTAGCTTACGTTTCTGTATGTTGGCCGCGTTAAAATTTCTTGTGTGCTCCTGCCGACATGTTTTTCTTCGAATTTTGTATTAAATTCTATTACAGTTACAAAATGTGTAATTTCAAATGCATTTCTAACACAAATGACTTACAGCGTTTGAAAGCTTGCAAAACACTACATAGAATACATTTAAACGGTTACCAGGGGTTTTCAAGTTCTTCTTGAGTTATAAGCTGTTGAAAGCGTGTTTTCAGACTAGTACCCAAGATTTTTGCCAGGTTTTGGCTTATTTTCCACATTTGAAACAGCAATAACTCGAAAACCACTTGAAAATCCCATCTGACCATTTAAATGTCTCATATGTAGTTTTTTGTCGCCTTTCTATTGATGCAAGTCGTTTGTATTATAAGTGTATCAGAAATTTCACATTTTTTAACTGTAATAGAGTTTAATACAAAATTCGAAGAAAAACGTGTCGGCAGGGGCCCACAAGAAATTTTAACGCGGCCACCATACAGAAACGTACTTACTAGCCTTCAGGGCACAATATGAAGGCAACGTGGAATTGTCCCACGATATGGTAAGTTTTCCATAATTTTGATCCTCTATCTGTCTGACTAATATTATAAAAGAATGTTTTCATGATTTGGAGTGCTCAAGTGCTAGATCTAGAGCTGGTCTCCCAACTTCCCGCGTATACTCGATAACTTGATTGAGCACGCCAAATCATGAAAAAAGTCTCAGTTAAATATAAGGCTTGTAATATGTATCTACTTATTCCTAAACCTTACTTGCCAACTCTAGCTATGACGGATATGTTAATACGTGTCGAATTGCACTGTACATCACAAGAGCAGATATTTCAACATTAGTGCCAACTCACACAGGTTTATCGTGAGACTCTTTCATACTTCAAGTTCTTTTTTATGCTTTCTCACGGGGTCTCACAACAAAGTCATTAAATCTCACGATTTTTTGAGGAAATCTTGAAGTGTATTTATTAGCTTATAATAGGTATAATACAATCGCGCTCACTTGATTAAAGCTCTTATAACGCTGAATTTTGTTCCAAGATCTAACTTCCAATATTAAACAAATGCTGTACATATGAGGAGTACGTTTAGCAGAGACATGCATTCATGATTTAAATCATTCGAGCTAAATAAATATCGGACTTTTTATACAATTTAATCCACAATAATAAGAAAACGTGAGGAAATTTTTAAATTCTCACGGTTTCAGCTCACAAAATCTCGCCACTTTGTTAAAATACCACTTCAGGTTGGCAGCATCATAGACATAGTCTATCAAGATATGTGTGTCTGGGGACTGAACAGATATCATTGTATTTGATGTTTCTGTCAGAGTTTATGTTAATTTGTGCACGGTTACGGTGCGGATGAGCTTATTGTATTTTCGTATAATGAAGTATAATCGTCCAACAGGGATAGCTGAGATGAAACGTGCAAATCACGATGAATAATATTTGACAAAAGATTTGCGCTCGATGAGGTACAGTTCAACATTTATAGCTTTGAAGTTTTTAGGGCTTCCAGACCATCATATCTTGACAGACTATGACAGCGTACAAACCCAATTTCTGCACATTTAAAAGCAATAGCTTAATATTTAGTTTTCGATAAAATGTCGTTATGGAGCTCTTATCTCCCCGTTACATTCTCAAAATTAATGAATCAAAGTGTTTATTGCTGTTTCGTAAAGGCAGCATCTTAATTTTGTCGATCCCAGATTTTTCGCAACGTATGTAAAGGAACTCTGATTTATAAACATACAGTATTTTATATCTGCGATATCATAATTATTTGCGTTTGCGAAGCATTGCCATTAGGCGTAAAAAATACCTGTAGTTCCAGTTTCATATCGTGAAAAAATTAGGGTCGGTAGGTCGGAAATAAATTTTTTTTTGAATATTATTTTCATGGTTTTGCCGGTTTTTTGCTGGGCCAAATTTGCAGTAGAGTCCGGACATCAATATTAACTAGAAGTGCGTATTTCCTATGGACGCTCTTCCGAAATTTGGTTCAATAATTATTGTGACAACAGACGCCATTTTGGCACGCTGTATGAGCAGCCCGCAATCACCTGGAGAAAATAGAGTCGCACGGTCAATCGCGTTGAAAAAATAATAGGGTCGGCAGAAAATAATAGGGTCGGTCGGGAACCGGAACCACAGATATTTTTTTTAAGCCTTATAAACCTGCGAATTTCCCACGAAGACAAGAGAAAGTGGAAATCGTCACAAAACGTCATAAATCCATTGATCTGCTGTGAACAAACAGAAATTTTTTCACTGAACAATTAGCGAAGGAGTTGGTGTCGTTTTCAGTTAAGTTATGGGAAATGTTATGTTGTGTCGATATTTATGTTTAATGGTGGAAGTAAAAGCAAAGCGGTACATTAAACTAAAATGTAATTGTGTGAGGTGGATACAACAGAACTGTGGATGCTTGTTTCTTGTTTCAAAATAGAACCTTCGCCTAGTGTACGTTTTCTGGCAGGCAAACGTTTTTAAATACAGGTGTGCATTGCAGAATCGCAATGGCAACATACATACATGCTGTACTCTTTTGTATAATCGGGATTTGCCTAAACAAGGGAAGGGGTCAATATCTTAAGTTCATCACATGAGTCTGATATTAATTTATTTTGTAATCGATCTGATTTTTGAAAGAATTTGCATCAATAAATGTCAAATATACAGTAGTTGCAGATGATGTACTATCTTATTTTTCGCCATGTGCCTCATACTTGTTCTTTCAAAATTCTTCGAATTTCAATAATACATCAATAATGATGCATTATATCAAATATGGATGACTATAACAATGGTTGATATTGTAAATGATATGCATGCAATCCTAGTCCAGAGAGCATCAGGCCAGGCTATACAGTTAAGGCTAGTTTCCACTCAGGAAAATTATCCGTGGATTGGAACGGACTAGAAAATTTTTCTTTGTGTTAAAGTCATTAGTTCCAACCCAGAGCTCACAAGACAAAGAAAAACTTTCTTGTCCGTTCCATTCCACGGATAATTTTCCTGAGTCGAAACTAGCCTTTAGTCAGTGCCAGTAGTGGGATTGGTTTTTGTCAGTTATTCCTTCCTAATTTTATATTTATATCGGAACCAAGCTGGCCCGTCTTACCGAAACCTTGTTTTGTATTACCTAGTATGTATTTGCATTCGCTTCGTTGATAGAGTTAACTTGTCAGTTCTTGTATTGTAGGGTTCCAGAAGGCTTCAGCGTTTCTTTAAAAACCTGAGGCTCAGTCTTGCCTTTGGGTATACCCATAGTATATTCTTTTTTTTTCTAATTTCAACATCATGTGATAATATTCTCAATTCTCATCAACGAAGGGGGCCGTACCTAGGTATGTGCATATAGTATGCGTGGGAGACTTGATTCAATTCAGAGAGTAACCATGCATCCGTTGAGCATTTCCTTAATAAATATCAAATGTCAGCATGTTATCGCGCAGGAATATATATAAATTATATGACAATTGTAACACAAAAAATTAATTATAATACTAGAAGTTATTATCGCAAGGGAAGTACTGAAGGGGTGGATTTGAAATATCTTGCAACTCCTCAATATCGTATACACTAAAAACCTTAAAGGAAGTACCTGCATAGTGTATTGTGAGTATTAAACTTCCTGTCGTCTGGCAGGAATTTTGCAGATTATAAAAACTTTCTGTATTTAAGTTAAATACCGTGGATTGAAACACACATGTATAGTTTTAAAATCGTGATAGGTTATTTCTTATTTTTAGGAAGCGTTTATGAGACTGTACATATGGTGGTTTATGAATTTCTTTGCCAGAACGATACGAAAGGCAGGTAGGTTCAAATATAAGTCACGGTTCGTGATTCCGCAGAATTCATTATTTTGCTAGTGACAGAATACCGAATATTGCAAACGGAAGAGGCTGTTTGAGCAATAAGCATGCAGCCAAAGAGCAATAATAGTCTTGTTCAATTAATACATTATCAACAAAATTTCAGCCCGTTTCAATTACTCCTTGACAGACCTTGTTACATGCGCCCATAGGCCATATAGTCATGAGTTTATATATATTTCAATAAATCAATAAATCAATTGATGTTTGCGATGTTACTCTGACACAGCTTGAAAAAAATGCCTGGCCACGGTAGAAATCGAACCTACGACCTTTGGAATACTAGCCCAACACAGAAAAAATCATTAATTATTTCTTTTGTAGTTGTATCCTGTCCCAGCAAAGCGCCATAATGAAACAGCCCCAAACATACCTGCAGCACTGATACAAGCAGGAGAACTACATTTCTCAGACGGTGAAATTGAAGATTTAATTGGGTTTTCTTTATTGACTTTAAAGACTTTAAAATACAGCAGAATGAAGATTCCGGATAGAATAAGCGGCAGTAGAAATGTGACGAAAACCACGCTTGGTGCGAGGAGATATAATGAAAACAGCCCCAAACATACCTGCACTGGTGGCACAAGCAGGAGAAAAACAAGTCCCAGCAGATGGCGAATTTGTAGGTTTGATCTTCTCAGATGTCGAATCTGTAGATTTGATCTTCTCAGAGGAATCTGTAGATTTGGTCTTCTCTTTAAAATACAGCACAATGAACGTTACGGACAGAATAAGCAGCAGCAGAAATAATATGAAGAAAACCAAGCGTACTTTCGAAGGCTTCCGTACTTCAGTGTCTTCTAACCGATCAAAAGGAAATCTCGCCATGTCAGTTTATTTCATAAAAGTGATAAAACACGCTTGATCTTTCAATCCACGGCAGCGCTAGCTAGTCTTCTTGGGCCTGGCAGAATGACGTCCTCATGGCATAAACGGTCTGCTTATAAGCGGTCGAGCTGAACATTCCATTCAGTTTCCAAGGAGCCAATCAGTTTCCAGTGAAATATTTATTCAGGAAACCAATCAGTAGCCGCCTTATAACTTATAGCCTCAAGGCATAGCCGTGTTGATGCGCGTACTTAAATTGGATAGATTTTTATGTGCCACGTGATGAACTTTTTGGGGACCTCGTGACAACTTTTGAACTTTAACGGAAACGTAAACAATCTGCAATGTTCTAATGGAAATGGCGCTTCTGTGATTAACAGATTATCTTTACTATGTTTGTAGGTGAGAAGGTAGAGTCGACAACATTCTTGAACTGACACAATATACGCCATTATTCCCACGATTTGCTTGTTTGGCTTTTCATATTATAATAAAATATTTACTGATTTAGCCCCCCCCAAAATGAAATCTGTTCCGCCGCCACTGCTGTCAAAACTATGACAACTAATATATAGCAGCCTTGTTTGCTCTTAGATTTATTGTATGACGGTTTTTAAATTAGTGCCATATTCCAATTTTCTATTAGTATATTTTTATGCGATAATCATATCATGTAATGCGCGAGTGAGCATCCTCCTATGCAACACGCGCAATATAAATTTTTAAATCAATTAAATTAGAGTTGGTATATGCAGTCACGCATATTGTTGCGGGGGACATTTCAAGTTCCAGACCAACAAAGTAGAGGTTTGATGAGTGTTCCAGCTATTTAACTAGCACATGATGTTGAGAAAGCATAAAGAACAGCTAACCAAGGACGCGAAATAAACGGCCAACTGTCATGCACTCTCATCGTCGTTTGATCCGGGCTTAAGGTGGAAGATTTGTGCTACTAAGATTTACCTTAATTAGCAGTTCTAAAACATGCTCTAGAACTCTGGATTTACCGTTCACACACAGGTTCACACTCTAATTTACCACTTGGCACTTGTACATTTTGCACGAGTGATTTATTAAATTGCGAGGTAATATTTTGAAACGTGTAGCCTATAGGAATTCCCGAAGTTTATGAAGAATAGTATTTTAGTTGTTTTTGTAGCTTCTGCAAACAGTCTCTATTGCCTCAGAGTTACTACTGAGGCAGCCAATCAGAACGCTTGAAAGCCATTTTTAAATACTGAATTTATATTAACAGTGCTGAATTGGTTAGACTTATGCATCTTCTTGGATAATCTCTAGATATTCTCGTTAAATCGTAGGTACAGTACTGCTCAGAAATAACCTAACACTGCGTTCGCGTTCCGAATGCATTCCAAACGCGTTCCCAACGCGGTCAGAACGCGGTTGGAACGCGATCGGAACGCGGTTGGAACGCGTTCCAGAGGAAACTTGGAAACGCGTTCCCCACTTTGGCTAAAAACCACGTTCTCGCATCGGAAAATCCCGACACCGAATGAAACATGAGCTACTGTAGGTTTTGACAGTTGACAATTATGAACAATTAATATCAAGCTTCATCCCGGGCTGAAATACCAGCCCGGTTTGACCCAGACTGAATCTCGACACAGTCCGGGCAGCATGTAATCACAAATAATTTTAAAAAATCGTCTTAATGGCTTTGTTTAGCGTGTTTGTTTCAACTGTATATGTAACCATAAACACACAAATCAAATAGCCGAAAATGCTTCAAATCGCGATCGTGTCTTTCAACCCGAGCTAGAAAGATCTGTGTTGTGCACAGGCTACATTGCAGCAATTTTAATACTTGCTACAGTTTATTTTAAATTGTCGCCGCTTGTGTAATTTTTTTACGCATAACTAAGTCATTACACATGATTATAAAGTATAATTATAAACATTTACAATTAGTCAAAATACTAGTGACTGTGACTTTTTTGACTGCCCAACATCTCGGGTCGATGTTGGGCAGTCAAAAAAGTCACAGTCACTAGTCACAGTCACTAGATGCTTGCAATATACATTTACTGACTAACAATCGTACCAACTTATGATGACGTTTCTTTACTGTGGCACGCAAATACACGCATATCCGAATAAACATCGCTTGCATACTATTGTTGCATGAGTTAAGATTGAAATTATCTGTATTTCTAGTTTATACAGGATAGCTAATAAACTGGACGACCTCCTTATCTTGTACTTTTTCCGGTATTAGTTTATCCATTTAAAACTCCTTCTGTGATCACAGAAACGGTTTGATAGTATAAACCGGGTTTAGTCTGATGATGATTTTATAAAGTCCAAACACTGTGATATTTTGGCTACCTCTTTCGGAAATGAAATTCATTAGCCTATATTCAACACACGCGAGAGTGAATAACTTTTGACAATAATTTCCATAATTTTAGACAATTTACAATTTCAATTAAAAATTTACAATTTATTCAAAAAACAATCTTGCAGCCAAAAGGCTGAATTACAACGGTTAAATTTTACAAAAGAAGTTAATTATACTATCTATTACTGATTAAAAATACTAAACATAATAAAAATAATTGTAACTTTAAGTTCTATTTCAATTAATAATACTCTCTATTAATGTATTTAAGAATATATAATTACAGTTAAAATTAACAGTTATTTTCGAAATATATAAAATTCTCAGTGACTGCTGCATGCTTTCATTATTAGAACTATAGCAGCAATTATAAAAGACTTTTTAAATCGTTCAGTCTTACATTTAGGAATTTTAAACGTTCTCGAAGTTCTCAGGGAATACGCTACGTCAGTATTCGGGTCTGGTCTGGTATTTATAGGAGTGGGTGCAATTTGTGATTTTTATCTTCCATTATTTCTTTGAAGAGTTTGTCGCACGCATTTGACGTCTCTCTTCAAGAGTTAGAAGCTTAGAATGGGAGAGCGCTTCGGCATATAACTTGGTGGGAAATATGATTTTCGTGGCTCGTCGCTGAATTCGTTCAATGTCTTTACACAGATATATGGGAATTCCACATGGGCGTACCGGAAGGAAAAAATTAGGGGGGCGGAAAGAAAATTGCCCGATTTTTCGGGATTCTGCCCGACTAGTACCAAAATTTTTTTCCGGAAAAATTTTTTTGGCGACTTCCCCCCCCCCACAAAAAAAAAATTGACTTAATTTTAGACAAACTTGACAGAATTTGTCCCATTTTTTTATTGCAAACCAAAATTGCCCGACTGTTGATCGAATATTGCCCGACTGCCCAAAGAACTGGGGGAGGGGCTACGCCCGGTACGCCTATGGAATTCCATAATTAAAGACAGGAGATGCGTATTTGACAACTGGTCGGATACAAGTGCAGTAGAAACACATCGTCTCGGTGGTAGATACTTTGGCACGTTTCAATTGTCGCAAAAAGTACAATCTCTTGGATGCCTTTTTAACAATATTATCAATATGACTATTCCACTTAAGGTCGCTGCTGATAATCAAACCCAAAACTTTACTTGGGAAGACCAAGTCTACCTGTTTACCGTTGATTGTCACTAGGGGAAGCCGCTGGTAATTAGTGTTGTATATCTACTTAATTGTATTCGCATCTCTTTACATTTGTCCTCGTTGAGGGTAAATTTCAGAGTGTTGGATTGGTTTTGGATATCATCGACCGCAGATTGAATATTGCTATCCTCTCCTCTGGGCCTGGTATTACCTCGGCTAAAGTCGTATCGTCTACGTATTTCCAGAGGTTGTTACTGACTGTGTTGAGGTCATTGATCATAAGAATATATAACCAAGGACCGAGTTTGGTTCCCTGGGGTACACCTGCCGGGACTAGGGACCATTCTGAATAGCAGTCATTGGCCAACTTTACTCTTTGTTGACGATTTGTCAAAAAATCTCTTACCCAATTTATAACACTCGGCGGAACGTCCAGAGAGTGGAGCTTTACCATAAGTAACTGATGATCGATGAGATCAATGCTTTCCTAAAGTCCAATAGAACAAGTCTAACTAAGGCCCCGTTGCCATCAGTGGCTTTAGCAACATTGTGGGCTATGCTAATAAGAGCTTGCGTGGTAGATCATTTTGGCACTGTTCCATATTGGTTAGGATCCACGACTTTGAGAATCGCCGGTTTAATGAACTGTTCAACTACCACTTCCTCGGCTAGTTTTGAGACTATTGGTGTTAACGAAACGGGCCTTAAATCCTTGTTTACAGTTCGTACAGGCTTCTGTTTTGAAATGGGAATTACATCTGCTAACTTCCAAGCAACGGGTAAACGATTTTCGAGATAAGAAGAATTGAAAATCTTGCACACGGGACTATAGCTAGTTTTATAACATTATCGCTCTAACTCTATTTAGGCAAAATGTTTAGCAAAATAAATTAAATGACTGCATGCTATTAAATTTCGCTCACTGAAAGGCGGAGTGGAATGCGGAATCGAATGGCATCGCCATCGGCGAACGCAACTGATTTCTCGATGCTTGTGTTCTTGTGACATCTTTAGTTCGCGAGTTAAATTAAAGATTTGTTTGTACTGGTCTTGTTGGCTGAACTGGCAGTGCCAGAGTGCCTAAGATGGATCTGATTTTCTCAGGCCGTCAAAGGGGCAATCTCTTCTAGTACGACTCCACAGGCTATATAGACTCCTAGTGTGTTGCCTTTAAATTTAGCCGAATTTCAATGAAAATTCACATCTTCATACGCTCTTAAAATGTCGTGCTACTTTCAACCTCCATAGTTTTATAAAGTTATACGATATTCTTCTATAAATGGGCATTTATATAGCGAGGTTATCCCCTAGATCTACAAGATAGTCGACAAGTTGTATACAGCATGCGGCGTATGGGGAGGTAGATCGGGCGGCTGCGGTTTAACTGCAACTAGGCGAGTTGGAAGAAATTTTAGTTTTACTAGTACTTTTAGCAGTTTGCGTGAAAATAAAAAAAAGCTACTGATTCGAACTAAGATCATTCTTCGGGTAGGTCGCGTAATTTTGAAAACGGGTATATTCGCAGATTTTCTTTATCAGTGACCCTGAACTAGACGTATATATAACCTCAAGTCAACAGTTATAGAATCTCTACATATGTTGGTAATAGCTATTTAATATATAGATTAAATATTTGCCTCTTCCATGACAGTGAATGCTTTATTGTGTGAATTAAACTTCCTGTGTTGCTGGAATTTTGCAGGGTTATAGAAACTACATGTTGCCGAATACCACAGACTGAAACACGCAACCCCGACAGGGTGTAAAGAGTAAAGACTATGTTATTTTCGATTTTTAGGAACTGTTAATTTATTATCCCTCTTTGCCAGAACTAGATCATGAAAGGTGAGATGTTTTGATGGGTTGAAATTAGTCACGGTTCGTGATTTCCCAGAAATTCATTACTTTGCTAGTAATAGAAAAATTTTGCAAACGAAAGCCGCTGCATGTTTAAGAAGGAAACCGCCAATGAAAAGCGGAACAATTTCGGGCTGCAAGAAGGATTATACCTGGGCGAATAGAAACACCTGCAATCTAACCAGTCGAAAAAGGAATGCATGGAATCCGTTTAGAGACGGCCACGCATATAATTGAACTGGAATTCCTGAGTCAGTGGCTTTCAGCATGAAATTATTCTATATACATATGACGATTTTCACACAATGAAATGTTAACACAAATGTTAAAACAAAATATGAATTATTACATAATTATATAAGGAGCAGATTTGAAATATGTTCTACGACATAGGTTCACTAAAAACTATATTGACTGAATGAATGCTTTATTGTGTGAATTAAACTTCCTGTCTTGCTGGAATGTTGCAGGGTTATAGAAACTTACATGCTGAACACCACAGACTGAAATGTACGCAACCCCGATAAGGTGTAAAGACATGTTATTTTTTATTTTTAGGAACTGTTAATTTATTATCGCGCTTTGCCAGAACAAGATAAAAGGTGAGATGTTTTGATGGCTGAAATAAGTCACGGTTCGTGATTCCGCAGAATTCATTGTTTTGCTAGTAACAGAATACCGAATATTGCAAACGGAAGAGGCTGTTTGAGCAATAAGTATGCACTCATAGGCCATAATGAGTATATATACATTTCAATAAATCATTAAATTAATGGATGTTTGTGATGTTACTCTGAGTGTATAAACACACCGGGCAAGCTTGAAAAATATGCCTGGCCACGGTGAGAATCGAACCTACTGTACAACCTTTGGAATACTAGCCGAACACAGAAAAAAATCATTAATTATTTGAATTATTTTGTAGTTATATTCTGTCCCAGCAAAGCACGAAATGAAAGCGCCCCAAACATACCTGCAGCACTGATACAAGCAGGAGAGCTACAAGGTTTGGCCTTTTCTTTATTGACTTTAAAGACTTTAAAATACAGCAGAATGAAGATTCCGGATAGAATAATTAGCAGCAGTAGAAATATCAAGAAAACCAAGCGTACTTTGGAAGGCTTCCGTATTTCAGTCTCTTCTAACCGACGAAAAGGAACTCTCGCCATATCAGTTTATTTCGTAAAGGTGATAAAATACGCTTGATCTTTCAATAGTCTTCTTGGGCCTGCAGAATGACGTACTTATGGCATAAACGGTCTGCTTATAAGCGGTCGAGCTGAACATTCCGTTTCCAAGGAGCCAATCAGTTTTCAGTAAAATATTTATACAGAAAACCAATCAGTAGCCGCTTTATAACTTAGCCTCAAGGCCTATCCGTGTTGATGTGTACTTAATTGGATCGATTTTTATGTGGAACGTGATGAAATTTTGGGGAACTTCATGACAACCTTTGAACTTAAACGGAATCGTGAACAATCTGCGATGTTCCACTGACTCTTAGATTTCTTGTAGGACGGTTTTTATATTAGTGTAATATTCCAGTTTTCTATTAGTATATTTTTATGCGATAATCATATCATGTAATGCGCGAGTGAGTATATCTTCCTATGTAACACGCGCAATATAAATTTTCAGTAAAATTAAATTGAATTAAAGTTGGCATTCAGTCACGCATATTGTTGCGGGGGACATTTCAAGCTCCACATCAACAAAGTAGAGGTTTGACGAGTGTTCCAACTATGTTTTAACTTGCACATGATAGTGTTGAGAAAGCATTAAGAACAGCTAACCAAGGACGCGTAACTGCCAACTCTCATGCACTCTCATCGTCGTTTGATTCGGGCTTAAGGTGGAAGATTTGTGCTACTAAGGTTTACCTTAATTAGCAGTTCTAAAACATGCTCCAGAACTCTGGATTTACCGTTCACACACAGGTTCACACTCTAATTTACCACTTGACACTTGTATACTCTGCACGAGTGATTTGTTAAATTGCGAGGTAATATTTTGAAACGTTTAGCCTAGAAATTCCCGAAGTTTATGAAGAATACTATTTTAGTTGTTTTTGCAGCTTCTGCGTGCAAACAGTCGGCGTAAATTGCACTACAGTGCATATAGTTTTTTTAAAGAAATTTAAAAGTTATGAACATTGTCAGAACGATATCTGTCGAAATCGCTTCCTGCATGTGTTATCATGAATATACTGTTGCTGCAAGGCGTCTGTGCGTGCGCATGTGCAATGGTGTCGTGTGCACATGCATGTGATGTCGTGGTCATCACGCTTGCCTTACAATCTGAGAAACCCGGGTTCAATCCTTGGTCGAATCTGTAGTCAAGGTCTTAAAATCACTGCTATCTTTACATTGACATTTAAGACTGATTAGTCACCGAAGCCGAAGTGATTACAACTAGGAGCCTATATTCACTGAGCTACGAAGCAGCGAAGTGAATATAGTCTTGTGATCACCGAGCCCGAGGTGACTAATTGTCTTAGTATAAATTCAGTGATGAAACATATATATAGGAACGTTGTAAATATAATTTACTAAATTACTTCACTCTTCCGCTTTTGAGTCTAACGAATCCAGCTGTCGGAGGATCCAGCTGTCGCCCAATTCTGTTATTTTCCGGTGTCCCAGAATTTTCGCCCCCCTCCTACAATTTTCCCCCCGGGGGGCGAAATTCCTAGGAATATCGCCCAGGGGGGCACTAATAAAGTCAGAGTATCATGAAATATTTGAATAAACCACACCACATATATATAATGCAATTTTCTTTGCGGAAGTCAAGAATCACGATTACATCACTGACACTGACATGGAAAGTTGATGATTCAATGGACAATAATTGTCAATACGCTTCCCAACACATTAATCCTATAGTTTATTGTTAGCAAGTGATTACTGTGGCGGCTATTGTTAACACTGGTATTGATAAATTTGCAAGCGATTGTTTTTATAATATGTTATGTGAAGTAAACTGCCAGAAGAATACGACAACATGATTTTATGCGATCTCTGTGGGCAATGGTTCCACTTTAGATGTGTAGATTATGACACTAGTCTAAGTATCTCAAATGAGTGGTTATGCAGACTGTGCCCACCACCAGCTGCTAAGAAGCCTAAAATGTGTATGTAATTTTGTCTCCTTGTAATAAATAAGTAAATCACACAATAAATCTTTTCAACTTGCAATCGTTTTGTTTTTAGATCAAAAATTCAAAATTTATATGGGGAGGGGCGAAATTCCTAAAGGGGGGGGGGGCGATATTCCTAGGAGATTCGCTTAAGTTTATTGAAATATATTCGCGGTATTGATAATATAATATATAACCATAGTAGTTCAAAACAGCGTGTAGAATGCACCAATAATGAGTCCAAATGTCAATTTGCATTAAGCTCGACCCATTCCTTTGTCATTTGTCGCGCGCCGCAAGCACTCAATTGAAAAGCACTGTTTATATATATAGATTATACCTAAGGTTGGCAACTATAGCTCAACTGACGAATATACGACTTCGGCAAAACGCAAAACACTTCGTACACGTAAAACAAAGATGATAAAAAATTATACCACATTAAACTCTGATATTTTTTCTACATACCCGCATATAAATTTTTTTTTCAAGACTGCATGCGCAAGAAAGATGAAAAATTTGCACAAACATTTCATGGTCTGATGAAAATTTTGATGTACCCATGCGGGATGCTAGCTAGAGGTTATTTCATTTGTCAAATTCTCAAAATAATTATGTGATTTAACTGTACTGGTTGAAAAAATATGATAAAAAATTGACAAAGATGATAAAAAATTATACCACATTGAACTCTGATATTTTTTCTACATACCCGCATATAAATTTATTTTTCAAGACTGCATGCGCAAGAAAGATGAAAAATTTGCACAAACGTTTCATGGTCTGATGAAAATTTTGATGTACCCATGCGGGATGCTAGCTAGAGGTTATTTCATTCGTCAAATTCTCAAAATAATTATGTGATTTAACTGTACTGGTTGAAAAAATAAACAGTTTGTGACGTATTTATAGTAAAAATTTGGTTTCAGGGGGTTTGAACCACAGAGGAAGTATATACAGAGAGTTCACTCGAGCCAAAACAAGTCACACGTACGATCGGCCATACTGCGCATGCGTAACCTCCTAGCCAGTACAGTGAAATTTTTTTATAAGGAACTAAATGGGGAAATCCGAATTTTTGTCATAAAAACAGCGATTTTAACGAAACCATCCAGGTGATTTGCTGTTTCGTTTTAATTTCAAGAAAATGGGTTAGACTGGACATTTTTAACAACAAATGGGGCTACAAACACTACTTGAACGCTGCAAAAAGGAATATATATTATAGCGTATAATGTTCAGGTAAGAGCAAACTTCACTTTTTTCAACGAGAAAAAACTAGCAAAAAACAAGTCTCCGCCAAAATGTCTCAGTCTTTGAGAGTTCGATACGTGTGTTGATCTGATTTAAATTGTGAATTTTGATTGTCAGGATATTAACCCATTAAGTACAACCTCGACTTGCCAAGCAGAGGGTCTTGCCATTGAAATATATTGCCGGCAAATAGTTTTGTTCGCTTTATAGGATATCACAATCCGTGGGCAGACCTAGTATAATTAACTTTTCTGAGGTTCACAACGAAGCGTGTTCGCATATCGCCGTCTTGTTTATAGCACATTTTCTTCGCCATTATTGCTCAGAATTTCATGGCATTTCGTGTACATGTAGCCAAAAGTTACCTGGTTGTTTTGCTGTAGATAAAAGTTATAGATGGATGTAAAAAGTTTTTAAAATCCACCATTTCATCTTCGAAAAAGAATCGCTCTTGTATTTTAGCAGTTTTCCTATTGTAATTCAAACCCCCCCCCCTGAAACCAAATTTTTACTATAAATACGTCACAAACTGTTTATTTTTTCAACCAATAGAAATACATGCATGCAGTAACCCCTAGCCGATATTTTCCAAACATTAAATTAACATGAAGTATTCAGAAATGGCCGACACTGAACGCAGGCTCGCGCTCAAGTGTTGCCATGACAACACGATATCTTAAATTTTTAATTTTTTCATATTTTTGTACGTACAAAACTGCAAAATAGTTGAAAGATTCGTACTTTTAACTATACAACAATAAATTTCCGAAATATACACTGTAGGTATATTATTATGCATTTTGTGAGCTTTGATTTACAGTCGATTTCACGAAACTTTGACTACAAATTTTCCGAACTTCGTTGCGAAGTTCACAAGATTGTTGCAAATTTCAAAAGTTCATAATCAGATTCACAAACCAGTTCGTAAACTACGCATTTGATTACTTCACGGACCAATCAGGGACTTTGTTTACAAATTGGCTTGTGAATTCCAATATGAGCTTCCGAACTTCGCAACGAACTTGCGAACTTCGCAGCGAAGTTCGGAACATTTGTGGTCAAAGTTTCGTGAAATCGACTGTAATGTAAAATTTATCTTGAAATTTTTGAAATGTTCATTCAACTAAACTACATTTGCCGATAAACTGTTTTACACACAAAACACATTGTTAGGTAATTTTAGTTCAGTCTTCAAATCAATTTGTTCAAATTAAACGGTAATTTGTGAAACTGAGAGCTTCGTTGAAAAGGAAAACAGTTCATGTTTTTAGGCAAAAAGTTAAAGCAACAAAATTCAAAGCAAACTTGCCGTATATTTCACGATTTCCCATAGTAAATCAATTCTTCTCATTTGTTCAAACAAAATTGCTTCAAGCTTGTTGTATATAAAACGATTTCCCAAATATATGCAGTTTTAAAATTGAAATCTTGCTTATCCCACTCCCACAAGCAATCAGCCATATTTTTGAGATCAGTGAGGTTAGTGACCACCAACTCAAGTTCGTTGGTTACGCCCGCGATATTTGATGAACTTTAGACTTCGCTAATGCTTTCGTTTCCCCGGGTATAAATAGCCGGGGGGAAATAGTACCCTCGGGGATTATTTTGA